TCCCTCAGCCTGGATTTTCTCCATTAGTGTTCTCAGTCTGAAAATTATTTACTAAAGAAGCTTCTAGCTTTTCACGGTACTCATATCCTACCCATCAAGCCAGCGAAGCTTTACTTAGGACAGAGGCCAGGATGCAACGATTCATCTCAATCTGGAGCTTGTTAAATGAGAACCACTATTTTGTTCAGGAATATCCATAAGACTTTCATTAAAACACACATACCAATCAATTGCTGTTATCTACTATTGACTTTTCTTTTTTCCATATTTACATTTTAATACATTAACTAAATCTGCATCATTCCCAAAGCCAAGTCCAGTTTCAGAGAATGAAGTCGATGCCAGAAGCAGCAGCTGTCAAATCCCAAATTACAGGGGAACACATGTTTCTTATGAGCATCCCCTCACTAGAATCTGTGATGGAGGGACTTAAGCCTACAGAAAATGTGAGGCTAGGAAACTGTGTGACCAAGATATTAAAACATAAAATGTTGTAATGAAGTTAATAGCCTAACCAAGTTTTTATTCACAAACCACAGAGGAAGTACCAGACACGAGACAATCCAAAAGGAAAGTGGGAAGACCTCCAGGGTGAACAGAGTGGTCCCCGATATTTTGAGTAGTTTGGCTCTGTTGTCTCCTTTCTTCCCCCCCCTTCTTTCCAAAACAAAGCTATGAAGGATGATGATGCAGCTCTGTATTTACTGAGGTAGAAAGATGTTCAGTGCATACTGATAAGGGAGGAGGAAGGGAGTCCAGTTCTAGAACACAGCGGGGTTAGGCAAAGACTCCTTCAATATGACACCAAAAGCACAAGCGATGAAAGAAAAAAAATGATAAACTGACTTCATCAAAATTCAAAACCTTTGTGCTTCTAAAGACACCATTAAGAAACTGAAAATACAAGACATATATCTGATAAAGGATTTTTATCTGGAATACATAAAGAACTTTTGTGATACAATAATAAAAAGACAAATAACCCAATTGAAAAATGGGCAAATTTTTGAATGGTCGTGCACCAGAGAAAACGTTCGAATGGCCAGAAAGCACATGGAAAGATGCTTGATATCATTAGTCATTAGGAAAATGCAAATCAAAACAGATATCACTTCACACCCACTAGGATGGCTACACTCAAAAACAAAGACAGTAGCAAGTATTGGCTAGGATGTGCAAAAACTGGAATTCTCATGTATTGGTGGTAGGAATGCAAAATGGCACAGCCATTTTGGAAAACTTTACCATTTGACCAAACAATTTCATTCCTAGATACCTACCGCAGAGAAATGAAAACATTATGTCCACACGAAGACTTGTATGTGAATGCCACAGCAGCATTTTCCATTTGAAACAATGCAAATGTCCACTAATGGTTGAATGAATAAACAAAAATGGTATATTCATAAAATGGAATATTATTCAGTCATTAAAGGGATGATGTACTGACACATGCTACAGTAAGGATGAAACCTGAAAACATTATACTAAGTAAAAGAAGCCAGATTCTTTTCTATGTTCCCATTTATATGAAATGTTCCAAATAGGCAAATTAATATAGAGAGAAAACAGCAGTTGCCAGGGTTGGGGTGGGAATAGAGAGTAAGTACAAATGTGTTTAAGGGATCTTTGGAAGGGGTGATGCAATGGTCTAAAACTGGATCATGGTAATGGTTGCAAAACTCTGTAAATTTACTAAAATTATTTGTATGATTAAAACAAGAGAATTTTATAGTTTATATATTATACCTCAATGAATCTATTTAAAATTTTGAACTAAAAGAAAAAAAAAACTCAGGATGTACAACGTGGTTCCATTTCTGAAATAGGAACTAATGTGTATTAATATTTGCTTGAGTAGGTTATTTAATTCTCTATGAGTTATAGGATTATGGGTGATCTTCTCCTTATACTTTTTTTTTTTTTTTTTTTTTTTTGCGGTACGCGGGCCTCTCACTGCTGTGGCCTCTCCCGTTGCGGAGCACAGGCTCCGGACGCGCAGGCTCAGCAGCCATGGCTCACGGGCCCAGCCGCTCCGCGGCATGTGGGATCTTCCCGGACCGGGGCGCGAACCCGTGTCCCCTGCATCGGCAGGCGGACTCTCAACCACTGCGCCACCAGGGAAGCCCTTCTCCTTATACTTTGTGTGTTTGGGAGCAGGCCCACGTTCTGGTGTCCTCCCTCCTGTTTCGTCCCCTGTAGCCGGGTGGTAAGAAATGACATCTGAGTTTGGGCCTAGCAGACTCAGTGTCAGCCCTGTGATCAACCCCAGATCACCAGCATTCTTAGCATTGGAATTGGAACCCAAGCTGGTTTCACAACAAATTATTATGTGTTTTGCTTTCCAGTTACCGTAGCTCTGTGGTGCATATATATTTTGTTTATTATCTGAGTTTTTAAAAACACTTAGGCATTACTGTCACCAGAAATAAATAATACATTATTTTCTTGGTGAGGCAGTATAGCACCATAATTAAATGCCTGGCTTTGAATGCCAGCCATGTGATCTTAGGCCAGTTTCTTAACCTCTCTGTGACTCAGTTCATCTGTAAAAGAAGGGTAATAATAATAACCACCTCAAAGGATTGTTGGGAAAACTAACTTAGTTAATACTCATGATGTGCTTAGAAAAGTATCTAGCACACAGTAATATGTATGCCATTTTTATTATCTACATGTTTGAAATTTTACGAGTAGTGAGAAAGCAGGGTACATATACATATAACCTTCCACCTATTTAGAATAACTTACAGGGAGGGGGACCTACACTAGAAAACACCAATGATAAATTTCATCTAGTTTGCATTTTGTCCATGCAAAGCAGTTTTTGCCCCAGTTCTTGGTACAACAGGTCATGGGGAAAATTCCCTGTGGGGCTTCTAACTGTATATACGAAGCGAGACACTATAGAGTCAAAATATTTAGCTCAGGTGCCTGCCAAGTGTGCAGCCGAGAGTCAGCTGGCCTGAATGAATGATCTGCCCCCACCCCCGGGGGTGCTGGCCTGAACAGCAGGAATCAGAGAGAAGTGAGACTCGTAG